GAGGATGCGGAACGAGACCGCGAGACCCGCGACAGGGATCGCGGAAGTCGCCGTGATCACCACGACCGTGATCGTGATCATCGCAGCGGGCCATCCTATAGAGGCGAAAGAAGGGGAACATCTAGCCGTCTCAGCCGGACCCCAGAACCAGATGCCTACGAGGCAGATCGCCGTAAAGCCCAAGCAGACCGTGAACGCTCCTACCGCAAGGCCAGCGGCCTATCGCCCGTCCGAGAGAGACGGGAAGAGCGCGATCGAGACCGGGAACGTTACCGTGAGCGTGAGCGGGATAGGGACCGCGATCGCGACTGGGACCGGGATCGCAGCGCACGCCCTCTTAGCCACTACGAACGCGAGCGCCGCGAGCGTGAGGAAGAGCGCGAACGCCTCTATCGCACACGCGGTGATCCCCGTGGAGGTCGGGATGAGCTTGATTATGGTGCCGATACCCGGAGCACCACAAGCAATGATCGTAGGCGCAGACGCGACAGCGATACGGAAAGTGTTGCCAGTCGCTCTGCGAAGCGCTACCGACGTGATAGTCGGGAGCGCGAACGCAGCCGCGGTGCCAGGCGAGACCGGGACCGTCGCGAGCGGACTCCAGCGGCAACCGATGATGGAAAGAAAGAGGAAAAGGCCGTCCACTCCGGTAGTGAAGAAGGGGAGATTGAAGAAGATTAAGTAGATGCACACACACACACACACTACTACCCGTTCCATAGGTAATTGCCAATGGACGCTGACTGACTCTACACTTGTAGTGTCGGGTTCTGGTGGACGCGTCTGTCGTCTTTGCTGCCCCCGTATATCGACTTTGTATGTCTAGCGCTCACACGATTGATATATGCATTTCTTGACATGTGAAAATACAAATACAATACCTATAATGATACTTCTTCTATTATATATCTAGAAATGGTAGTTCAATGTGACAGCCGAACTAAGTCGTGGCCTCCAATTCTCGGGTTCACTTAGATTACTGGAATGACTGAATATATATATTCTATCCCCTCAGTCTATCCCCGTTATGACATATCACTACTAGTAGTACTAGTACAACCACAACTCACTGGTACACAGTACGGCACGTCATGTGCGTGACGTTTGGAATGAAACGCCTCGTTTGTGTCATTTAAGAGTAATTCCTGATATTTCTTCGTCTGATCCAGCCAACAAAATGTGGGAGATCTGTCCCTTACTGGACGATGATACCTACCGCTATCATCGGGCGGGAGGAGTATGACATCCGGTGGAGACGGACATTTTCGGAGGGGATCTGCTCCGTAGGCGTACACAAGGTGCTTATGTAGAGTTCACTATACTGTCCTGAATAGATTTTACCATGCTTGAGGACAGAGAAAAGCAAGTGATATATACGAAGTGAATGACTAGCGTAATGAAATATGTTCAAAAAAAAGAAATCTTTTGGACAGTGGCCACCTAGCTTGACCATAACCAGCTAATCTTGTTTTCCCTCACCGACACCCTTTTTTGTCGGCGGACCATCCATGTCGCGAATAACCTTGAACTCTTTTTGACAAACATTGTAACTCCGACATGACTGCGCCATCCAGGAAATCCGTATACCCAAACATAATCTAATAGACTAGTCTCGTTGTGTCTTCACTCCGAACCATCGTGAAGAGGACTAGATTGAACTATGCAGGCGTGGATGGCGCTGGGGAGGGACGACCATGAGCGACGACAAGGGGGGGCCAGAGAGGATTAACTGGAACAGGTTAAACCACTGCTCCTACCTAGCCGAACAAGTCGTCCGCTCCCTCTTCGTCATCCTCCTCCAAAGCACCATCCACATCATCAGGAAGGCGCACGCCACGGCAGCGGCGCCGCCTTCTCTGAGCTGCAGAGGCCTTTGTAACGCCGAAAAACGCCACTACCCGAAGGTAGCCCCAGCGACGATAGCGACGCCGCTGGTCCGAGTCGCGGCCGTCACGTCGGTGAGGCACGCGGTCATACTTGCCCGGAACAACCTCTTCATTTCTCTTCTTCCAAGAAGAACTGTGAAGAATGCAAGTCAGTATTATGCTTTTAATGAGAAAAAGAAGATACCACCACGGCGGAACTATGCCAGTGCTGAGGTGAGAAGATTGTAGACTTACGTAGTTGCCGGCCAACTTCTGCTCCTGGTCCATCTGGGACTGGTACTTGTTAATACGAGGGCGGTAACTGTTGGGGTCACGACGGAAGGTGACATCCAGGTTCTTCAAGAAAGTGTTGCAACCAGTGACCAGGGACTCAGGGGCGTTGGCGTGAGCATCGATGGAGGGCTGACCGTCGAAGACGATGACACGGTCGGCGAGATAAGTGGCCATGATGAAATCGTGCTCGACGATGAATGCAGTCTTCTTGGTGTGCATGATGAAACGCTTGATCACCCTGGAGGCCACGATACGCTGCTCGGAGTCCAGGTAAGCACTAGGCTCGTCAATGAGGTAGATATCGGCGGGAATTCCCAGAGCCAGGACAATGGCAACACGCTGCAATTCACCACCAGACAGGTTCTGGACTTCCTGGTCAATGAAGTCATCAATCTTGAGGGGCTTGTAGACATCAGTCTGGAACTGGGGCGACAGGAACGCAGCCTTGATACGCTTGAAGAACAGCTGACGGACGGTACCCTGGAACTTGGGGGTGATCTTCTGAGGCTTCATGGAGATGTTCAGGCGAGGAACGCTCTTGCCACCGTCAGGCTTCTCAGCACCAGCAAGCATCTTACAGAAGGTGGTCTTTCCGGTTCCGTTCTCACCCATCATGACAATAATCTCAGAGTCGGTGAAACTTCCAGCATCGATCTTAAGGTGGAAGTTGCCGAGAGTCTTCTCCATGCTGGGGTAGGAGAAAGCACGAGCCCGGTCCACCATGAAGTCATCACCAGACTCAGCAAGACGGAAAGTAAGAGACTCATCACGGAATCGCAAGTTCTCGGTGGGGATGTGACCATCCAAGAAGATGTTGATACCTTCACGGACGGAAGCAGGCAGAGTAACCACACCGTAAAGGGCGGGTCTTCCGTAGAGCACACAGACGAAATCAGACAGGTAATCAAGAACAGACAAATCGTGCTCGACAACAATGACATAATCGTCAGGGCGCAGAAGCTCTCTGATGGAGCGAGCGGCGGCGAGACGCTGCTTAACATCAAGATAGGAGGAAGGCTCGTCAAACATGTAGCTGTGAAATTTGTCAGCTCTTGCGCATAGAAAAACGGTTCTAGATATTGCTCTTACACGTCAGCCTTCTGGACGCAAACCAGACCAATGGCGAAACGCTGGAGCTCTCCACCAGAAAGGTGACCGATATCACGGTCCTGGACCTGTCTCAACTCTGCATATATCATTAGCAGTGTTAACACAAAGCTCAGTTTGCAACTGTGCCATACCAAGAGTGTCGAGAATGTGTTCCAGGTTGCCCAACTGAGCGCGGGCCTTGATGAGGTCTCCAACGTTCTGAACGGGGCCCTTGACAGCCCTGGGAATCTGATCGACATATTGAGGCTTCACAACAGCCTTGAGGTCGTCCTCCAGAACCTTGGTGAAGTAGTCTGCATACAGTTAGAAGTCTGTATAAATCGACCGCACGATACTATATATACGTACTCTGCAGTTCGGAACCACGGAAGTACTTGAGAATTTCTTCCCAGTCGGGAGGGTTGTCAAAACGTCCAAGGTTGGGCTTCAGCTTTCCACTGAGAATCTTCAACGCCGTACTCTTTCCAATACCGTTGGTACCGACGAGACCAAGCACCTGTCCGGGACGGGGCATGGGAAGACGGTGAAGCTTGAAGCTGTTGGCGGAGTAACGGTGGGTAACTTGAGTCTCCAAGTTGGTCGGCAGGTTGATGATGTGAATGGCACCGAAGGGGCATTTCTTGGGACAGATACCGCAACCGATACAGAGGCGCTCGGAGATGAAGGCAATCTTGGACTCGGGAGTGACCTCGATACACAGCTTACCCGTACGGACGACGGGGCAAGACTTCTTACATTCCTGGCGACATTTCTAAAAGAAGAGAAAGGGTGGAGCGTTAGAAGATAGGTCTGGGGGCGCGAAGAAAGCAGGAACATCGGAAGATTTGCGTACCTTGGGTTTGCACTATTACCAGCCAAGCGAGATGTCTCAGTATACGTTGGAGCGTCGACACATGGTTGTTGGCAGCGTATGCCGCGGGGTATAGGAAACTCACTTTGTCACTGTTGACAATAGCAACACTGAAAACCGAGATCTGTTAGCTGATGTGACCAAAAAGAGACCAATAAGGTGGACATAAGGAGGCATACCGGGTAAGCTTGTCAGACATGATGGCTAATGTTCAGATCAAGTCGAATGCGCGAAACCGATGTAGTGGGGGAGCAGCTGCAAAAAGAAGCAGTAAGATCGCTTAAAGGGTGAACTGTGCTGGATGAAGCCGATCACACGGCGGCGGTTGGACTGGCAAAATGCGAACGCGCCAGATCTCTGCACAGGCAGCACCAAGGAGAGAGCGAGGTAGAAACGTTGCTGGAGAACCCCGATGAGGAGGGGCTCTTTGGAGAGAAAACTATGCCGGGCATTGTGGGCAACCGTGGCTGCCTCAGGCCACAACTGTTTCCGGGCTGCATTATTTCTGGCGCTGCTGATTGGCTGACTGTTCACATTGACTGATTCTGCTCGGAAGAAGAGTAACTCCCTTCCCGAGACACACGTGATATTCAAAGCGCGCTAGTCCGCTTGAAGGCTCGCTTGAGGCGCGCTAAACCGCACAGAGCATGGCGGGCAATGGCAGCCTGAGGGATCAGGCGGGCAGCCAATCCCTTCACGGCGACTCGTCCACCTCCAGCCGAACGTACAACACTCTTCCTACTCCCTCATCATATTCTCAGCGGCCTCCCATCGTTCCTTTGCTGCCTCCACCATTCCATCCTCCCCTCCCCCCCACCTTTTCCCTTCAACTTTGTCACCATTTACTTCTTCGTTTTTCCCTGATTAGGGGTCACCAAGCTATGGAATGTAAGTATTTTATTTGTCTTTCCTAGCTTTTTCCTAGACGTGTCCTGCCACTGTCGGCCGGGGTACTTCTCCACGGTCTCGACCCACCGAAGAACTCCAGATATCCCCTACATCCGGTGTATTGAGGGGTTCTCGGGTTCCTCCTGGTCAAGGTCTGGCTGGCTTTCCTCTCCTGTACCTGTTTTTGCATTCGGATTCGCCCCTATTATCCCCCATCTCTTCCCTATCACTCTCCGTCGCGTTTCATCCAGCCCGCCATCAAAAACATGCTCATCCATCATACCTCCATCTCCTACCTCGTTCACCTACCTATTCTGTTCGATTCTAGTGGAATCTGAGTCGCGTAAATCTGTTTTACACTATGCCGTGTCTTCCATCCCTCTCCGGCCTCGTACCGGGCTTCAATGCTGATGCCTCTCATCATCAATAGCTACTAGCATGGTGATCCCATCTACCTCCGAACCATCGGCCCCAATGGCCCTGATGAATGGGTACTCCGCATCACCTGCCTCCGATGCTGCAAGCAGCAGAGATGATCTTGCAGTCAGCGAGAGTGAAGACCACCTATCCGACTCCTATGCAAACCATGCCGCACGCGATTTATCATCCTCCCCCGAGGAAGACGCCGCAGACGAGTCCTATAACGCCGGCTCCCCGGACGCGGAGGGAGATGAGGATGCTTTTGGGATGGAAAATGACGAGGACCAGAGCAGTGCATCCGGCTCTGAAAACTCTTCATCATCAGAAACCAGGCGTGGCACGAAACGGAAATCATCGTCGGTCAATGAATCAGACTATATCCGACAGAACCCCGATCTATACGGCCTTCGCCGAAGCGCAAGAGCCCGCACGACGCGTCAAATAGTCGAATCAGACTCGGACTCGGACGACTCTGATGCTGTAGCACCCCGTGCGAAGCGTCGACGCGCTGCGGCCTCACAACCCACCTCGAAACGTCCCTCCCGCTCCGCAACCCAGTCGTCGTTCTCCGAAGACTCGGACAGCGATGAGTACGGGGGTCCCCGTGCTCGTACAAGTAAGGCGAGGCGACGGCGGCTCCTTCAAGCGTCATCAAACGAAGCACCTTCGCACCCTGAGGTTCGTTTCTCAACGAGGAATGCTTCTCGGGTCTCCAATTACAACGAAGATGATGATGATTCCATGTTCGAAGATGACCCAGAGGAAATGACGCAGAATTATTGGGTGAATACCGTGGAGGATGATCGCCCAGCTGTCGATATTGTGCTCAATCATCGCCTCAAGGATGGTGTGGACCCAAGTAGCCTCGACGTCGGCCGCCACGACTTTGAGTTCTACATCAAATGGCAAGGCAAATCCCATTACCATGCCACATGGGAAACGGCCGAGAGTCTTGCCAACTGTCGTAGTACCCGCCGCCTTGACAATTACATACGCAAAACACTGTCCGAAGACGTCCGCCTCAAGAATGATGCAGATGTTGCCCCCGAGGATCGGGAGAAATGGAACCTCGATCGTGAGAGGGATGTAGACGCAATTGAGGATTACAAACAAGTTGAGCGAGTCATCGGAATGCGCGAAGGCGACGAAGGGACGGAGTACTTCGTCAAATGGAAGCGCCTGTTTTACGACTCTTGTACATGGGAGAGTGAAGATCTCGTTAGTAATATTGCTCAGCGCGAGATAGACCGTTTTCTAGATCGCTCCTCTCGCCCCCCGGTGTCAGACAAGTCCGAAACCAACCCAGCCACGCGCAAGTCATTCGAAACAATCAAGAGCACACCTAGCTTCCTACAGAATGGCCAGCTGAAGGAGTTCCAGGTGAAAGGTGTCAACTTCATGGCTTTCAATTGGGTGAAGAACCGCAACGTTGTGCTGGCCGACGAGATGGGTCTTGGTAAGACTGTCCAGACCGTTGCATTCATCAACTGGTTACGCCACGTGCGCCGCCAGCAAGGGCCTTTCGTGGTCGTCGTCCCACTGTCGACGATGCCATCCTGGGCTGAGACCTTCGACCACTGGACCCCTGACCTCAACTATGTTGTCTACAATGGCAATGAGGCTGCACGCACAGTTCTGCGTGAACATGAGCTTATGGTAGACGGGAACCCCCGACGCCCTAAGTTCAATGTACTCCTCACAACATATGAGTATGTCCTACTGGACTCGACCTTCCTGAGCCAGTTCAAATGGCAGTTTATGGCCGTTGATGAGGCACATCGGTTGAAGAATCGCGAATCTCAGCTATATTTGAAGTTGCTCGAGTTCAGGTCTCCGGCTCGACTTCTCATCACCGGAACTCCTATTCAAAACAACCTTGCAGAACTCTCTGCCCTTCTAGACTTCTTAAATCCGGGCCTGGTTCACATTGATGCCGACATGGACTTGAACGCAGAAGCTGCCTCTCATAAGCTTGCGGAGCTGACGAAAGCTATTCAACCCTTCATGCTACGTCGAACGAAGTCGAAAGTGGAGTCTGACCTTCCCCCCAAGACCGAAAAGATCATTCGCGTCGAGCTCTCCGACGTCCAACTGGAGTACTACAAGAATATTCTCACCAAGAATTACGCTGCGCTCAATGACGGAGCCAGAGGTCAGAAACAATCACTTCTGAACATCATGATGGAGCTGAAGAAAGCAAGTAACCATCCATTCATGTTCCCCAATGCCGAAGCCAGGATTCTGGAAGGTAGTACCCGCCGGGAGGATGTTCTGAGGGCAATGATCACCAGCAGTGGTAAAATGATGCTTTTGGATCAGCTTCTTGCCAAGCTGAAACGTGACGGTCACCGTGTGTTGATCTTCAGTCAGATGGTTAAGATGCTTGACATCCTTGGTGATTATATGGAATTCCGCGGATATACATATCAACGACTGGATGGTACTATCCCTGCGGCTGCACGTCGTTTGGCAATTGAACACTACAATGCTCCTGGAAGCAATGACTTCGCGTTCATTCTGTCTACCAGAGCCGGTGGTCTTGGAATCAACCTTATGACGGCAGATACTGTGGTCTTGTTTGATTCTGACTGGAACCCCCAGGCTGATCTTCAAGCCATGGCCAGAGCGCATCGTATTGGACAGACGAGGCCGGTTAGTGTGTATCGCCTGGTGTCAAAGGATACCGTGGAGGAGGAAGTGATTGAGAGAGCTCGAAACAAGCTTCTACTCGAGTTCATCACAATCCAACGTGGTGTTACTGACAAGGAGGCGTCAGAGATTCAAAACAAGATGGCTCGTAGTGGAATCTCGGTCAGCGAGCCAAACTCAACAGAGGATATTTCACGTATTCTCAAACGTCGTGGCCAGAGGATGTTCGAGCAGACTGGTAACCAGGAGAAGCTTGAACAACTCGATATCGACTCAGTCCTCGCAAACGCAGAACTTCATCAGACCGAACAGGCTGAGGAGATTCAAGCTGACGGTGGCGAAGAGTTCCTTCGAGCCTTCGAATATGTTGACATCAAGGTGGACGACCTTAGTTGGGATGACATCATACCCAAAGAACAGCTGGAGGAGATCAAGGCAGAGGAGAAGAAGAAAGCCGACGAACGCTATCTTGCCGAAGTCATTGAGCAGAACCGACCTCGCAAGCGCAATGCACCGGGTGATGCACGGGATACCCGTGAAGAACGCAAAGCCAAGAGATTAGCGAGAGCACAGGTCAGTATGGAGAATGGCGATGACTCCGACTCAAATGCTCAGTCGGACCCGAAACGACCCCTTGTGGAGAAAGAATACCGCCATCTTCTGCGTGCCTACCTTCGTTTTGGAAATATGGTAGAACGTGAGGAGGATGTCGTTCGTGAGGCACGTCTCCTTGACCGTGATAGAGAGACGGTCAAGGCTGCGCTCCGCGAAATAACTGACAAGGCTGCCGATCTGGTGCGGGAAGACATAGAGAAACTCGAGGCCCTTGAACACGCTGGTAAGGTGCCGACGAAGAAAGAAAAGAAGGCGGTCTTATTCGATCTCCATGGAGTCAAGCGTCTTAATGCGTACACTATTGTGGAACGTCCGACGGAAATGCGTATCTTGAAGGAGGCGACGGCCGCCGTGCCTGACTTCAAGAATTTCCGGATACCGGAAGCCACTAAAGCCGCGGACTACACGTGTCCATGGGGTGCACGCGAGGACGGGATGCTGTGTATCGGTATTGCGCGGCACGGATATGGTGCGTGGACGCAAATCCGAGACGATCCCGACCTTGGCCTTGGCGACAAGTTCTTCCTTGAAGAACACCGTGTCGAGAGGAAAAATGAACGTATGAATGCCGAGGACAAGACAACGAAGTCTCCAGGAGCCGTTCACCTTGTTCGTCGCGCAGACTATCTGTTATCTGTTCTTCGTGACAAAGTCACCAACGGTTCGAGTGTCAGCGCGAAGAGAGCTGTCGAGAATCATCACCGGAATAACCGGAAAGGTTCCCGTACGCATGCCAGCAACAGCGTCTCGGCTTCGCCCGCACCGTCTCTTTCTCGTAGAGGCCACCGGGAAACAGAACGTTCCAGGCATCGGTCTCATACCCACGGCGCCAGAGATAGTGTTGAACGACACCATACTCCCAGCCACGATCGACCCAGATCCATGCATGAAGGCGAACGAAGCCGTCATCGAACCTCCGACGCATCCAGTGAGGACATTCGGCGTCGTAAGCCTCATGAGAATGGCTACTCCGCCGGCAAAGAGGACATGGCTCGCTTGTTCTTCAAGCCCATTCGCGAGAATCTGAAGAAGGTGTCAGCCGTTACTAAAGAGAACTTCCCGAGCAAGGCTGAAAGGGCTACGGAGTTGAGACGTCTACTTGGAAAGGTCGGTGAATTCATCGGTCAAAATCTGAAGGGCCAGGGCTCCATGTCGTCTTTGGAGACTCGTTTATGGTATGTCCAATGCAATCCGGCTTCTGTTCCGAACAAAGTATACTGACTCCCTTAATAGGCAATATGTTTCGGTACACTACTGGCCCAACAAAGACGCCGGAGGGGCTAAACTTCAAGAAATGTATCATAAACTGATCGCAATCCCTAAGGAGCCTGCTTCTTCCAAGCCAGCCTCCAACGGAGAGTAGATGCCGGTTTTCTAATCCCGGTATCTGCCAGCGAAAGGATGTCAAGGGTCTTGTTCTTTACATGGAGTTCTTCTTTTTGCTTCTATTCATGTTAAAAGGTACATATGCATCATTTGGGTTAGCATGGCGACGGCGTCTGGTATGATCTACGAATAAGGAGTGTTGTGTGAGGTTGACCCCATGAGTGGCCTTTTATGATGTTTGCATGCATGGCAGCTATTTCTTTGGCTCTTAACGTCTTGCGGGTTTCCCGCGTATTTGGAGCATCGGGATTTGTGATGTGTTCACATATATCGTTTCCTATTCCTCTTTCTATCGCTCATCATTCGCTCCACTCCCATATACCTCCAGAATGATGAGCGGCGTTCTTTGTTCTTCCTCCGATATCGAACCCGGGAAAGAAAAGAAGAAAAAAACACCCAGCTGTTGCCATGATTGTTTTCTTAGCCCTTTTTTCCCCTTTAAACCATACCATCCGAGCAGGGCTCCTCTTATATCCTTCGAATTCATGTATCTTCTTTTCAGACCATCAACATCGCCATCATCATTATCATCGGGCTACTTTACTATTACTATTCCCTGGAGTTTGATCTCTTTCTACTACGTTAATTCTAGCCTGGGAATGAATGGATATCCATCTTGTTTTTTTGCCTTTTTTTTTTCTTCTGTATCGACGTGTCCTTAGACCTTCGATAGTTGTTTCTTATTTTTTCAACAGGAAAGAGTGTTGTGTTCCCACTTCGTTGTCTAGGATACGTCTTGAAGGCTGCTACTACTTGGCATGCTCGTTCGACATGGTGTTGACAAAGACATGCGTGCGAGGAAAAAGAAGAGGCGCGGAGTGCATTTGTCACTGGTTCTCTTTCTCTTCTCCTAATGGAGTTACTACAATCAGACCACATTTCAACAAACAACAACTATAAGGGTTACATGCATGCAAATGAATCAAGGTACTTGATTTTTATTTCTATTGAATAGTAGTGACTCCATGCTATCATTCAATATTGGAAAGAAAGGAAGCGCCAATCCCATTTCGTAAGGTTACAAAAACACTCAGCAAACTAGTAAAGACCAGGATATTTTGCGGAAACGAAAGCGAAAACGAAATGAAAATGAAATGAACTAAACCGGAATTGATCAAGTCCCTGCATGTGCCGTGACGTGGTAAGATAATGGAGACAAAAGGTGTATAAGAAAAGGAGGGGGAAAAAAGAATGGAATATGAGTAGTGGCACGTTAATTATCACAAGAGACGTGATGTGACGTGACCCAGTTCCGTGGCGAAGTCATTACCAGCAGCAGCCCCAAGAAAGAAGAATCCCAAAAAGAAGCCCCCAAAACAAAAAGGTAAAGTACAAGAGGAAAGGGGTAGGAAGAGCAATAGGAAAGGCAGGGGTGATCAAGTCAAGAAGGATATATTAAGTGACCACCGCCATCAACATCGACCACCGCATCATGGCGGAACAGACCCAGACCCCTGGTCCTGTGCAACATCCATCTCTGTTGGCTCTGACTGCCGTGGCTCCGACTGCGGTGCATTGTCCGTCCCGTTTGCCGGCGCAGACTTGGCCACGCTGAACTTCTCATCGAGGAGCTTGAACAATCGTACCTCGGCCTCCATCAAGTCATCAAAGATCGCTTCCTTCTCCATCCACGATTCCTTTCTCTTGACGCGAATCTTCTCCCATGCGTCGCGTAGCTCCGCACCATCCTGCTGTGCCCAGTGAATCTGTCTCAGAAGCAGCCGATACAATTGCGGCCCTTCAAGCAGCATCTCGTAGGTGTCGAATTCCTTCTCCAATCCACCAGGAGGTACGTGGAGATCATCCTCCAGTCCTGCTGCCTCCTCATTGGCGCTTTCGCTGTGGTCTCCTGCGTCGTCCTTCGGTGGGAACGATAGCTTCAGCTTCAACCGTTGGATCTTGCCAGACGGGGTCGCGGTCGGCGTTCCTGCCGCCGAAGCAGCGACGTTGTGGTGTTTGGGTACGGGGTCTGAGGGACGAAGCGCCTCTGTTTCATGAACCGTTCTCATGTGTTTGGCAAGGGCGTCTGATCGAGTGAAGCTGCGGTCGCATTCTATAGACAGAATAGAGGAACGATGTTAGACGTTGCCAAGGGATAACGGGCAAGGAACGTATGACGGGACAGGTCTAAGAAAACTTACCAGGTAGAGCGCAATAGAAGGGCTTTTCTCGCGTATGGCTTCTCATGTGTGCGCGCAGCGCGTAGCCACTTGCGTGAGTTTGGCCCTTTCGACTGCAATCGGACCATTCGCAGGAGTACTTCTTCTGTCGGCTCCCGACATGTTCTTCATGTATGTGCTTCACGAGGCCGTCCATATTGCCAAGATCACCGGCGTCGCATCCATCCCAGCGACAGATGGTAACTTGGTCGTTGCCTTGGCCGCTGTAGTCATCATCCTGGCTGCCGCCGATGAGAGCGAGGGTGTTGGGAGAGTTGGGAATGTCGCCGGAGGTATCGGACGAGATGGAGGTGGAGGGAGAAGGAGGAGGGAGGTCATCTTGGAAAGTAGTCGAAACGGGAGTATTGCGATCCCAAGAGGCAACGCCAGTGCGACGACGCTTTGAGGGAGGCATGTTGGAGCCGGAGGGGGAGAAGGCTTGCTTTAGGTCGTCGCGATCCGACATGTCGTCGGAAGCAATGGAGGAGAGGGGGGAGCCCGGAGATTCCGTCATGGTGGTTGACAGGAGAGGAGGGCCCGCTTCCAGCAGAGTTGGAGAGTGAATGACGGGGAGCAAATTGAGCGACAACTGTGGGCCTTGAGGAGTGTTACTGGCACTGGCTGGAGGAGTGAGCCAGGTTTGAGATGTTTGGAAGTTCGATATCCGGCGCCGGAGTATACACTGGGCTGAGCACCCGGCACGTGATGAGGCTATTGCGCCGCCAATTTTCTTCGCGCCCGAATTCCCTTTCTTTTCTTCTCCTCTTTTACATTTCACTTGTCTATAAGACTGGGAAATAACGCAACTTGGGGATTCGCTTTGAGATCTAATGTGACTCAATTACTCTCCCAGTGGCTAATTGAGCTACTTTCTAGCTAATTGTTCCTTTGTTTTCGTGATCTGTTTAACAGATCCTGCCCACACATTGTTTGTGCAGGGTAAGTTGCCGCCAATTTCCTACCACTTTATTGTGTTTTGAATCTGCCGCAACTTCCATGATGAATTAATCAAGAATTCTGCAATCCTGACAATCTCCTTTTTGTGAGATTGCATGTTGACTCTTCTACACTTGATCTGACCCCTCGTCTGTTTTCATTGTGTCCATGAAGCTTTCCATTGCTGCCACGTCAACACAAGCTGACAATTCTGGCTTATTCAGGATCTTATTATCTCTCCTATACTATACATATATATAGCAATGATATCATATTCATTATCAAGAAATCGCCAAAGCACACGCCCTATTAAGACCGTACAACCGTAGCTTAGTAGCGACTTCCGACCACCTGGATCCGTTCCAAAATGCCCTTAAGCTCGTCCATCTCAGCATCACTAAGGCGAGGGACTCCCTCCAGGTTCTGAGTAACCTTGTTAACCGTCGTACCACCGGGGATGGGAATAATGGTGGGCATTCCCGGCTTGCCGCTGAGAGTGAGGATCCAAGCCAGGGCGATCTGTACAGGAGCCACACCCTTACGCGTGGCCAGGGCCTTGACCTCATTGACCAGCTTGATGTTTTCCTTCATGGCTTCCTCCTGGAACTTGGGTAGCGTTCTGCGGAAATCGCCCTCAGGGATATCGGTCACACTGGTGAACGCACCGGCCAACACACCGCGGCCCAAAGGCGAGTAAGCCACAACGGGGATGTTGAGCTCAGCGCAAACCTTAGCGACGTCATTGTTGAGGATTGTGGTGTCAAAGAGGGACAATTCAACCTCTACCGCTGCGATCGGGTGGACCTTGTGACTGCGTGATCTCGTCAGCTGCTATTCCTTTTTGTTTCCGTGTATCCAGCTTCTGCAAGTAAATGAATGTGTGTAGCAACAACGTACGCTCTGCGAATAGTCTCTGCATCCACCTCACTCAACCCAATACCTCCAATCTTTCCCTCCTTGACATATTGCGCCAGGACAGTCACTTGCTGCTCCACCGGCACGTTGGGATCCTGTCTAGCGCATTCGAAGATATCGATCTTCTTCTTTCCGTCCAGCACGCGCAGACACTCGTCCACACTCCGGCGGATGTTGGCCTCGGAGCTATCGGGGGTAAGCTCTCCACGCTTCAAGCCACCCTTGATACTCAGGACGACCTTGTCGGCGTTTTCGGGGTACTTGGTGAAGTATTTGTTCAGGAGGTGGCACGAGTTGTAATCGGGTGTGCCGTAGAGCTCGCCGGCGTTCCAGAAGTTGGCACCGAGCTTGAGAGTGGTGTTCAGGGTTTCGAAGCATTGCTCGTCCGAGGGAGGCTGAGGGACCCAGGTCATTCCTTTGATTTGATGACATTATCGTCAGCTGCGAAAAAGAATCATGGTGACTGCGGGGTTGATTGTTTTCCAACATACTCATGGTTCCGTAGCCGGTGTGGCCGACTTCGCGTCCGTTGAGAGAAGGCATTTTGCTGGATGTGTAGTGGCGATTGGGCGGTTTGTGGTGTTCGATTGGAGATTAAGATGTGTAGCTCTTGAAGAATAAGAGGTGATGATGGATGGTATTTAAGCTTGAGTTTGGGTCGGGGTTGCAGCCCGCAATGAAGAGGGTCGATGAGGGGCTTTTATCTCTGCTTTCCCCCACCTCAACACCAATATTCGGATTTCCTCGGACATCGTCCTGGATTGTCGCTCTTGTCTCACAAATGGATACGAGACCCGCTGATTGTCATTGAGAGTTACGATTAGATTCGATGAGTTCTGTGGATCGGCCGCGGTATTAATCATGGAGGCCGAGGGGTCCTTCCCGGATTTAGCTGGAGTTAAGCTCGTAGACCGACGGACGGAAGTTAAATCCACCAAGAACGGAGAATCAAATAGATATACGGAGACCGAGAGATTCTAGGATCACCAAGTCAATTTTCTACTACTTCAGGTACTAACTCATTATATAGCTTCCCCTTGCCATTGGACTTCGTCAATCGTGACACGCCGCTGAATACTTTTTCACAAAAACAGAAGTATAGGAGAGACGTCGAGACAAACAAAACACCCGCCAACCAAACATTACAATCTCATAAGAGTCGAGACAAAATGAGATAGAAGGATACTCTCAGTATAGCTCAGTGAAGCGTGTGCTCGTCGCTGCTATCCAGAGCATCCTTGACAGCGTCCTGTATCTTCTGCATCAAGGCCTTCGCGAACCCTGAAGCGTCCGATGCAGGGTTCGGAAGGGTGTTACCCTTACTGTTCTTACTGTTGTCAGAGTATTTCTCGTAGTCTTGGGAGGTCGAGTCATCTGCAACCTTATTGCTATCCTTCCCATTATCCGTCGCCTTGTCATCATCTTGATCGACATCGTTGTTTTGGCTGGTCACGGTCTTTGTAGGGCTGTTGCTGTCATCAATGACATCAGGCTGATCAGACTTATCGGGCTCATTGTCTGACTTCCAGTGGTTGAGCTTGGTCAAGTCATGGAGTCCGATAGAGTCGAAGAGGGTGTCGATAAGATCGCTGTTCTCGTCGTCCGGGGTATCGGCTTGAGGGATCATTCGCTGGGGCGAGAGAGTCAGCTAAATTTGGTGGGTGTGAGTATACAGACAAGAATACTTACCGGGTCAGGAGATCTCGAACTCACCGCTCTCGATACAACGTCCTTCTTCGATGTAGATACAGGATATGCGAGGGTGAGAGAAGAGAAGGTGAGGAATGTGAGGACCATGCAGGTCACTGATGGCGTCTTGGTGTGCATGGTGTTGTGAGAGGGCAGTGCGATGTGGTATAAAACTCAAGAGTAGAAGTACGAAAGGGCTATGGGAACGAGTCAGGTGTTTTGAGGAGTAAGTTTGAGGTGAAATTTGATTTGAAAGTTTGACGAGACAATCGAGCCTAGATATACTCCTCGCCGTTGCCCCGGACCCCCTGTGCGATGAGACTTTCCCGACGTGCGGAATGGAAGGGCTGGATAGATGTCGCGGGGGGAATACCTCGCGTTTTGCAAGATCGCGTCTCAAGATAAGATCCAGCCATGAATTGGATTTTGCACGCCACTTATTTCTCAAATTCTGGAAGTTTGCTTTCTACTAGGAGGTAACTAGTCCTCTCAGGCTAAGTTGATACCACCACCGCTATCGCACGGAAACACCAACTAGTCCGAAGTTCCATTTCGTGATACCCCCATTGGATAAAAGCATAGCTGCCATTGTTTTACTCAGTTATCCAGGCCCGATCGAAATGAGACAGTAGCATAGACCCTAAATGGTAGGGGTTGACCATCTCGCATTCCAGGGGCCTTGAACATTCCAGCCCGGTTGCTTGCCGGACAGGGATAGGCTCGCCACATATCGATATGAGATCATCCAAGGCCAACTGGAATTGAATTCCCAGGAATGTATTCTATCTCTTGAGGGCAGTATCTGCTGGCTGGGAGATATTAGCGGAACGTTCAACCCGACCACCGCAGGTCTGTATTGGCAGGCGTCACGTTTATAGTAGACTTACAGGTATGAAGTCGAACACTCAACAATCAATTGATAGTTTTCTCATTCTCTGTAGTAGTCCTGTCGCAGTGGCTTTGTCCGTAAGGATGTGTTTGTCACTCATCGGCTTGGGCATAACATCTGTGTCGCACATCTGTACCAGTCCATTCTGATTTCCTCAAATCGGGTCAGATAGCTCCATTGTTCTATACTGCAAGCGTAACCAGGTCAACCACCTCGACACTTATTTAAGTCTCCCTGTGCTAAAGCCTCAAGAGACTGTTGCACCTCTTCATTTGCAAGCTTTGGTTGCCACAAGAGCACAAAGTCCTTCTCCATGAGGGAACAAATGTCTCAACAGTAATCCCATCTAGGGCACAATGCCAAGTCTGAGACACCTGTGCCTCAAGGCTTGACTTCGAACAATATCGGTATCTTGTGTATCACTGAATGGGCTAGCGACAGGAGGATGAACTTCAGCGCGCATTCATTGGTCTGAATGAGATGGAGGGTAAGCTGAGGGCGGTGCTGGGGCGATGTCGACATCGAGGGAACCGGTTAGCACCCAGCGAATCGCTCGTGATGTCTCACTATGACAAGACCTCTAAAGGCAAACGTCAGCTTTCAAGCACACAGGACAGTAATTGATTATCAGTTAAGGCAACTAACAAGTAATCATAGACTCGATACTGCAAGTTCGTGGTTGTTTCTGACCATAGGTGAAACATGCACATTGTCAAATCCACAAGCATATACATGTCATCTTCGCCTGACTTAGGCTGGCTGAGCGCCTACCAAGGTGCGTTGATTGGGCATTCATCATCATCCTCCAATGCAAAAAGACACGTAAGTGCGTCGTCGTGGGGCCAGAGTTCTCTCTCTGATAATTGCACAACAGCGTTCAACACGATGCAAGCAGTGCTTGAACAACCACAGTTGTCTTCAATCCCAAACAAGTAGTCCAGTCGTATCAAACGAGGGTCCAACACCCAGCAGAACAAACCTCAGACCCTGCCTGGGACCTGCTGCAAGAGGCCAAGCCAGCCAAGAGCCATAGTACGAATACAATCAGCCCATTTCCCACCTGCAAACGTATCCCCTTGACCACATGAACCAACCAACGCTCATGCAAAGCGCCTTCATTTCGGCATACGTGATCAGTCTCAAGCAGCAGTAGCAGCAGTAGCCGCCCCCCGAAAGCACCCAAATTCAAGGGTCCTGCCCCGTGGCTGCTTACTAGCCTACAAGCCTGACTCGCTGAGGGGTGGCGCCCGTTATACTTTGCTAGACGACAGTCTGATCCTGTCACGCATATGTCCAGCAGCATTTACTCGTACGTCCACTACGACCGAGAAGGAATGATCTTCTCTGCAAGCCGCGCCGCCGTGGTTTAGTTACTTAGCCTTGATATGTTGGAGTAATTCCTCCAGTGTTGGCTGCGTAAGGCCTGCGGCAGCAACATAGGCGGCGCGAGCACGAGACCTCCGCACTTACAAGGCGCTGAAAGGCGCTGATCAAGATCAGTCAACGCAGGAAAGTAAACCCCGTTCCACGGCGAAGAAAGTGCTTGGCCATACGGGATTATGCCTGGAATAATCCGTTCATAATGAAGGTGCGTATACACATACGTAGTCAAGTCGATAGGAAAGCCGAAGGGGGGAAAGGGAATCCGAAACGTCGCGGGCTCCTCCTCCCCCTTCGTCTTCGTCAAAACGCCCTCATCACGACATCGTATCATCTCTGACGGGATGACTGATTGAATGAATGAAAAGACGCTACGTAGACCTCTTCGGGGATGTGTGTGTGCCTTGCACCGATTCGTTTTGAGTTAACCCCGATGAAGGCCACACTAGTTGGTAGGAGCAACAGGCAGAAAAATTTCGATGCCACGGTTCAGGACGCAAATGAGGCGAAAAAATGGAAAAGAAAATGAAATAAAAAGTTAAGGGAACCCTTAATTGAGGTCCGCCCCAATAGCTAACGGAGGAGCATCCCCGCTTCCATCTTGAATTTCTTCGTTCTTTTACATATCTATACTAGTCTAGTTGGAGAGCCCTAAGCAATTGCTCGGCGACGCTAGGCTTGGCCCCACTGGGCACCGGAGCATTCGTATGCACCTACGTATCTAGGTGTCAAGGGAAATGATCCAAGACGGAGGGTCATGAAGTCAACGTGATTACGGGGTGTAAACAATGAGATCGGCTCTATACATGGTATGAACTTGTATCTTCGGTACGATCGTGGCCGTTCTGGGGTCATCAGGTACCATGGGATGGGCAGCATGGATTGTGTATGGGTGTGGTGTGGGTGTGTACCGTGTCATGGATGTAGATTAGAATCGATGGAGGAAAACAGGGTATCTTGGTTAGTGTTTGGTTCGACACCTGATCGGTCCCTAACTAAGCGGTCGTTTTACCCCGTAGTTTGTGTGGCTTACGTATGTTCCCAGTCTAACACCAGGTGATCCAGTCTAGTTGCTTCGTGTTGACCCTTCGTCCCCTCTCTTTCTGACTCTCTCTCTCTGACTCTCTAGCCTGAAGATAGTGGCATCGAATTGAGCCCTGAAAAGCATAGCTGAGCCGGACCTTCAGCCAACAAGCCACCGGGCGACAGTCTAGAACGGAGGGGGAAAGCGATTAGACCTCAAACAGATTAGTCTCCGGCTAATTCATGCGTATCTGAGGACTAATCTAATTCTACGCGCGGCATGTCAAATCTCGGACCCCACTGAGTGACGTCTCTGCTTACGCAGCTGGCGTTTGCTAGTGGTGGTGGTGAGGTGAATGGTGTGGGAAATGTGGACTGTGAATATACCTCCGAGGTGGGTAGTTTAGATAAAAAAGTAGTTGAGTTTAGTTGTATTGTTGGACGGAAGAGACAAGGCGTCTTTGCATGGACAATTGGATTCCATATCGGCTAGGGTTAGTTTGAGTTCAGTTGGATCCTGCGTGACACCACTTCGATACTCCGACTACACTTCTATACTGTACAATCTATCATCATGATATGCAATCTGAACAGACAGTTGTTGGATACATCCGAGCGAGCAATATTTTTGATCTAACTGACTCTGACTCTCACCCCCTACACCAATCCCATCAGTCCCCTTCCACTCCACCTGCTTTCTGCACGATAAACCAGAATGAACCCAACCCTCACTAGCGTGTAGCTAAGAAGGCTACTTGATAACAGCCCCACCCCACTCACTCACCAACAACAACAACCCTTTCTCTCTTCTCCAATCATTCTTTAAAGTTGAATGGACCCCGAGAAGGGCAAGAAAAATAAGAAGGGAAGAAAGTATATGCGTATCCGGAGTAATCTTACTGCCTCGAAAAGGGTAATTTACCCGTCATGGTATCCAATACCGTTACCGGATTACCCCCTCCCCATCCACCCAATCCAATCTTCCCCCCCTTCGGTGTGAATCTTGTCTCATTCTAAAAAATTCCCATTTCTCGGTTCCTGTCCCTTGGACGTGATGGATGGGTCAACTTCCCCCCTCCTCCTCGGATATCGACTACCGTAGCGAGCTTAGTCGGGACTCAGTGCTACCTTGGTCCGCCGACGCTTGCCCAGCTGCGGTTCCGAACTTTCTTTCCGGACCCTGAAGATCGCAAGGGTCAGGCGCTCGCTCTACATCTTCTCGCTGGTTGGAGATTTTCGACGAGGAGATTGTGTGCTTGTGCTTGGCAGGCAATATTATTGTTACTCAGCGGCATTGAGGATCCGGACCAACATTCGGTAGTTGTTGGAACGAACCAGACAATATTCTTCAGTCTGAACTACGAAGATCTATTGTTTTTTTTTCTTTCTCTTTTTCTCCATAATGTTATATTGCAAAAATCAGGGGGGTTATGTTTTTGCTAATGATGTTGCATATGCTGTATGTACTATGTACTGCAGCAATCAAGCGACCGACCGACCCTACCCGACTGAACCGCCCCTTATCATTCTCCCTCCACCACCACCACCACCACCACCAACTCCCCTGCCAACCCGGGATTCCCGCAGTCGCTGTTTCACTCCAATCCCACCCTACATTTTGTTTAATCCCTTTGTATTAAGTAAGAGCTCGCTGCAATGAACAGCTGGTCCGAAGCGAGCTCTGAGACATCACCTATAACAAACGTATACTAAAGATAGCTAGTGAGCTAGCTAGCTATCTATCTACCAGACTAAAGTAGCAGTAGGACCCTGTCTCTTCTTTTCTTAGATACGTCGTATCTAAGATCCAAGCCTTGTCTCTGATTGTGTGCGAGCGCGTGAGAGT